TGCCTGATGTGTCTCTTTGGTTGTATCCTTTCTGGTTATAATAAATGGGTAACTGTTTTTCCTAGGTACAAGGAACTGTAAACTTCAAAAGCAGCAAAGATGGGTAAAAAGAAACCAGAGTCTTTGGACTTCATGAAAGATTTTCAGGAATATCTGGCTCAGCAGACCCATCATGTGAACACAAATTCTGGATCAGTTAGTGGGAACAAACAAGCAGAGGTTCTTCAGGGGGCTAAAACAGATGGTGATCAAAATGGACTGTGGAAGTTTCCCTGGGTGAAAACTCAGGAATGTTAGTAGACGGGTTTGAAACAACCTTTGACAGGGACTCAAGTGTCAGTACTGCAACTATGCCAGCAAAAGAACAGCCTGGCTTATCCAACATATTAGAATTCACACAAGTGAGAAACCTCATAGATGTCACTTCCTTCCATTTGTATCTGCTTATGAGTGTCATCTTGAGGCCCATACATATTCCCATACTGGAGAAAAATGATACAAATATGAATTATGTTCCTTCTGCTGCAGTGACTGGAGTAACCTGTCCCATCATCGAAGGGGCAAGCATAAAATGGTACCAATTAAAGGTACTAGGTCTTTCTTGAGAAGCAAGAAAATGTGTGTGGAGAGGTTTACAGAAGAAACCAAGTAATCTATGGTACAGCAGAAAAGCACTAATCGACTTAAGTACACCTTCCCTGGTGGTTCAGAAACCAGACTACCTTAATGATTTCACCCATGAAATCCCAAATATTCAGACTGATTCCTATGAAAGCATGACAAAAACCACTCTCACTGGTGGCCTACCAAGAGACCCCTGGGAACTCATGGTTGGCAACCCTTTAAATCAGCTCTTGACTCTAGCAGGACAGTTGCCCAGTTTGCCACCTGAAAACCAAAACACCACATCCCCTGATGGAGTTCCCTGCCCCAAGTAAAAGCCTTTCATGATTCAGCCGTCCTGTGCTGAAGCAGCAGTTTCTGCCATGTCAGCAAGTATTCCTCAGACTTCCTCTCCCACAAGCCCTGACGCTTGACCATCACACAATCAAAGGAACTATAGTCTAGTGGCAGGTCTGAGCAGTGAACCAAGTGCCCACACAAGCACTCCTAGCATAGTTAACAGCCAGCCCAGCACTCCACCCCCAACCCTCATGGTCCAGGATCCTCAGTTTCTGCATCACTTTATCCTTTACACTAAGGAGCCCTGGTGGCACAGTGGTTAAGGGCTTGACTACTAACTGAAAGGTCAGCAGTTTGAACCTACCAGCCACTTCATGGGGGAAAAATGTGGCAGTTGGCTTCTGTAAAGATTACAGTCTTGGGAACCCTATGGGGCAGTTCTACTCTGACTATAGGGTTGCTATGAGTCGGAATCAACTTGATGGCAACAGGTTTTTTTTATCCTTTACACTATCCATATGGTATGCTATGGAAATGAAAACCCTTTTCTGTGTAATACATGTGGATGCAAATGGAAAAGCAAGTATGATACTGCCTGTCATTTTGCAAGAGGGCACGTAACCACCACTGACTGAAAATAATCATCCCATGCTTTGTTTTTGCCATTTTGTGTTTTGTGAGGTTTCTTTTCTGCCATCCCTAATAAGATGTCTGCTAATTTAAAGTTTATACATTATATTAATAGAGTATTAACTTGACAGTGCAAACAAAATTGTCCCTTTTTTTTTTCCCATAAAACTCAGGCCAAGGCCACTTATGTGTTAGAACAGCTAGACAAATTGATGTCTGTTTTTTCCTTTCATTCAGACATTTGAGAATTGGAGACCAATCATAATCTCACAGGTGTTCATTTAAATTTCCCATATTTATGGTCCATAAAAACTTCAGAGCTTATTCATACTCTTGGTATTTTCAACATACATATTGCAAACCAAAAAAATCAAACTCGTTACTCAATTCCAACTCACAGCGACCCTACAGGACAGAGTAGAACTGCCCCACAGGGTTCCCAAGGAGCGGCTGGTGGATTCAAATGCTCGACTTTTTAGTTAGTAGCTGAGCTCTTAACCACTGTACCACCACGGCTCCACACACATTGAAGCTAGATGTTATTTCTGCTGTATTTCACAATGGTAGAATAGACGATTTTCTTTTAGAAAATCTGTTACAAATTATTTCAGTGTTTAGTAGGGAGTTGTCTTTACCTTTGCTCTGAATTGTAATATGATTTAATTCATAGTTTAAGCTGAGAAGCAATAGTTTCATCTTAACTGACAGTGAAGTTATATCACTACATAGTAAATCTTTCTTTTTTCCACAAGGGGAAATGTAAAGCAGTTTTTTTGTTTTTTTTTTTAGTGAAAGTTACAAAAATATGAAACTAAAGTTGTGAATAAATGGAAATTCGGAAAAGAAATGAAACCTAAGACTTTAAATTGAAAATTATCTTTTCCCTCCATAAGGGAAGAAATTGGGTTTAATATTTAAAATACATTCAATTTCTAGTTTAAACACTGGATTCTTTTTATTATATGCCTGGTTTATTTAAACACACACACACAAAGGCAAATAAATGAAAGCACTAGAAAAATTAGAGGGATATCTATAAAGATGTCTTCTTTTTTCTTTTGAGCTTTTCATTTAAATTCTCCATTCTGATGTTAATGTTATTACCATCAGATGAGGTTATTCCCATTCCTCTGATGATCAAAGAGGTACAGTGGAATGTCATCCACATTATTAGTCCTAGAAAAAGCCAGTCCTTCAAAAACAAATCTTTGATGTTTCCTCTTCCTGCCTTCTGTCCATTTTATTCCCATTTTATGGGTACAGGAACACGTGGAAAAATGCGATGGTGAACCAACATTTACAAAAATGAGAGCATGTGTTCAAAACGGATTCTGGTGTCCTCCTCAGATTTAGCCATTTTAAATAATTTCTGTGAATTCAAATTGTAATGTTTATTTGCAATTTTACCAATCTTCATTACAGTGAAAAAACTATGGAAACTTTGATTGAATTGTCACCTCAGTAGCAAAGAATAAAAAGGTGTGAAAATGGATATAAAATGCATTTAAACTTGATGTTTACAAAAATAAGACTTGTTAAATAAACCTAGAATCATTCATTTTGAATAGAAGGCTATTATTTTCATACTGTGTAATAACTAATTTACTCTGAAGAACAGCTTGGTCAAACAATAAAATATATTGTTACTGAAAAAAATGTAGAATTTGCTATGAAAATGTAAAGTAAGTACAAGGAAAAAAAAAGACCCAGAGTAGACATATGACCATTCAATAAACTGATTCAATAATCAAAATCTTCATACACACACACCAAAAAAAAACCTCCTATTAAGCCCAACTTACAGATAAGTCACACAAAATTCACAAAGAACAGGTAATTTCCTCATATTAATTAAGGAAAAAAAAAAAGTGACAAGAAAGAGTAAAAAGTTCCCCAATTCCTTTTATGATGCTATAACCACAGTACTATAAACGGACAGAAACATAGAAAAGAAAATTTCAGGCTGATCTAACTTGTGATAAACAAATAAAAATCTTAAAATGGTATTAGCAGAAAGTCCCCAGAAATAATATAAAAGCAATTCACCATGCTCATTAAAAATTACTAAGTAGGGTCTATATAGGAATTCAAGAATGAGTTAACATGAGAAAATCCATTATGCTATTCAAAATTTTTAAAGATAAGGCAAATGTATAGAGACCAAAGTTTATTAGTGGTAACTAGGGGTGGGGCAGGGGAGGGGGATTATTGCTTATGGAGTACTGAGTTTTGGTTCACAGTGATGGAAAAATCGCATTGATTAGGTAGGGCTGCACAGCCGATAACTGCAATTGCTGTCAGTAAGTTGTACACCTGTAAAAAATTGAATTGGTAAAAGTTGTGTGATAGTTACAATTAAAAAAAAAAAAAAAGTAGCTGCTGAGGCTGCTTATGTACAACCAAACACCTAATGGGATTTAGTTCCTTGGATTGGAGGTTTAGGGTCATGATTCCATGGGACATCCCAGTTAACTGGCCTAACAACATGTTTAGTGTTTCTCTTCTACCTCCTACTTCACTGAATAGTGCTTGGAGTCTTAAAAACTTGCAAGCTGTCCCCCAAGGCACAACTGCTCTCTATTTGCCTGCAGCAACAAAGAAAGAGTCAGGAATAAGAAGAGGAAATGGATGTGTGGCTAATTGCCTCCATGAACAACTACATACTCTGCTTTGAGACCAAAAGAACTAGATGGTGCCTGGCTACTATTACTGAATATTTTAATGAAAGACCCTATAGAAGAATCCCAATCAAAAGGGGGAAACGCAGGACAGAATTTCAAATGCTCATGCAATCCAGAATTTCTGGAGCCATGGAAACTGGATGAACCCCCCTCAAAACTACTGCCATGAGATAATCTTTAAACTTTAAGTCAAAAATATCCCCTGAAATCTTCTTATTAGCTTAACTAGTAAAGTATGTCTGCCTGAGTATTGTGCTGTGTTAAGATCTATCTATACGGAATCAAACTGATAAACTCTAAAGATTAGACAGGAACCTCAGGGGACAGTGAATTTATGCTAATGGGGAGGAACAATTCAGAAAAGGAGGGCTGAGAATGGTTGCTCAACTTGAAGAATATAATCGGTATCACCGAATTGTACGTGTAGAAACTAGAATTTGTACATGTTTTGCTGTACATTATTCTCAACAACAAAAAACAAAATAAATTAAAACATTTTCACAGATAAAGGAAATAAGCTTTATCTTTATTCCAATAGATACAGAAAAAGTATTCAATATAAATTAATATATATTCATGACCAAACTGAAATCTAAGCAAACTGGTAACAGGGGGGAAGCTACCCTGACCAAGGTTACCTACCAAAAGCCATGGAGAAACTGTGTATATTTTCCCTCAAGATTGACTTAATCTATTTCTATTTTTCCTTTTCTAGTTAATGCATGGACCCTTATAAACCTCATAAATCCATCCCAATACAAAGTGGGGAGTGAATAAAGAGCTCACCTGAGACATGTTCATTTTCTGCTGCTCTTGGGAGACTGTAGAAAATTCTGAAGGTTTAGCTGTGGGGACAGAATGATGACTGGTGTCACGAGATTTGCCTGACTTACAACAACTAGATTTACCTCCCCAAATCTCAGCACCTCAGGTGGGGAGCAGCCTCCCAATAGGGATATGCCCTTTAGTGCTTGGAACAGACCATATACTGACAGCAGCACCTGTCCACATGAGACTGAAGTGATCATATAAACTTGAATGTGCATCTTTTCATTGGTTAAATATGAACTTTATTCATTTAGCAATTATTTACATGCATTTAAAACTGATTAACAGAGGGAAAAAAAAACCTAAAAACAAGAGATGGTTAGTAAAATTAAAGCACACCAAAGGCAGTTCTACTCTGCATGCATGGGGTCGCCATGAGTCAGAACTGACTTGATAGCAACTAACAATAACATGTATATAAACCAATATGCATATACTGGGGGGATATCTTTAAAAAAAAAAAAAGTACACTCTTCTTTCATTAAAATTAATGTAGCAGAAAAATACTCAGCCTGCATCAAATACCTATTCTCCTGGTATATTGTTTAATCCTTGAGTGACAATAGGGATTACAAGGAATTGTAAAAATTATGTTTAAATTGGGTTGAAGTTTCTGAAAAGGCCCCTTTAAGCCTGGTGACTGACTCATGATGGACAGAACGGCATGTCTTTGACTCCTGCCGCTCACAAACTTGGTGGCCCTTGATGATTCACTGATGCTCCCAGATACCATTTGTTTAAAGCTCTTAAATGAGTCAGAGTACTTTGGAAACCTTTGTGAACCATCATTCCGCATTTCTCTGAGCCCAGGATAACATCACTAGTGCCATATGTGTTGATGGATATGTGTGACAGCAGCACAGAATTTGTAAAGAATGAAGAAAAAGACTGCAGGATGTTTAGGAATAGGTGGGGACAAAATTTCCTTCCTCCAGCTAGTTACCTCTCACCCCTAGACCCTGCAAGTGCAAAATCTACAATGAAGCGGCCTTTCCTGGGCAGCCTACCCTTGGGCCATCACACCTCTTTTCAAAACTGGCCCAAACCCTCCACTGCCACACAGTCTGTGGTGGCTTTTGGAGGTGGCAACATCACCAAGTCTGGCTCATTCTGGGCAGGGGGATCAAGAACTACTTTTGGCCAAGCAAATCTTGGACCTGCTCCTACCGGGCTCTTCAGCCTCTGCTCTGAAGATCTGGAGAGAGTTCAAAGGTCAGAGAGGCATTCTCTTCCAGGTAAGATTCCTGTTCCTGGAGATTCCCTGGTTTACAAAGGTTGCTTTGATCCAGGGGATCTGGGACCTGGGCCAGGGAAACAAATTAACTTTAAGGTCAAAAATCTCTCTTGGTAAGAAGACCAGACTTAACAGTCTGAGACTGGAGGAACCCTGGAAAGCATAGCCCCCGGATTCTCTATCGGGCCAGAATTAAAACAATTTCTGAGGCCAACTCTTCAGACAGGGATTGGACTGGACTGTGGGACATAAAGGGATACTGGTGAGGAACGTACCTCTTAGCTCAAGTAGACACAAGAGACTGAATGGGCAGCTTCTGTCTGGAGGTGAGATGGGAAGGCAGAGAGGGTTGGGAGTTGGTTGAATGGATATGGCGAGTCGGGTGGAAAGGAGGAGTGTGCTGTCTCAGTATAGGGAGAGCAACTGGGGTCACACAACAATGTATGTATAAATTTTTGTATGGGAGACTGACTTGAAATATAAACTTCATCTAAACTACAACAATAAAAAAAATTAAAAAAAAAAAAATCTCACTCTTGGGATTCATTATAATATCAGACTTAAACGACAGACAGCCTGCCAGTGCAGGAGGGGCCAGGAAGTTCAGTCTGACCTAAGGAACCTGAAGAGACACTTAAACCACGTACCAATTCCAACTCATGGCAACCCCCCATGTGTCAGAGTAAAACTGTGCTACAGAGAGTTTTCAATGGCTGATTTTTCAATAGATCACCTGGCCTTTCTTCCGAGGCACCTGTGGATGGACTTGAACCTCCAACCATTTGGTTAGCAAGCAAGCATGTTCACCACTTGCACCACACAGAAACTTCCGATACTAGAAATCCAACAATACGTTTGCCACCTGGTACAATTCCATCTACATTTACTACCGATTATATCACTTAGCATTTGGAGACAGGCCACTCTTTTAAGTACTATGAAGGCTGCAATGCTGGTTGTAGGCAGGTGTGATACTAGAAAGAGCCTGAGATTGGGAGTGAAGCACATCTACCATTGGATCCAGGCCCCTGACCATTTGCTTATGACCTGAGCATATCACTCCACCAATCTGAGTCCCAATTTTGTTTTGTTTTGAATGTGTATAGCAGTACCATTTGCTTGTGGCAGAATGCAAATGGCTAAGCATTCAGCTACTAACTGAAAAGTTGGTGGTTCGAATCCGCCCAGAGATGTCTCAAAAAAGGGGCTGGAAATCCACCTCCAAAAGATCAGTCACTGAAAACCCTGTGGAGCGCAGTACTACTCTGAAACACAAAAGATCGCTATGAGTCAGAGTAGACTGAACCACAACAGGGTTTGGTTTTTTGGTTCTGGCTCCAGAACTCGACCTCTCCCTGTAGACCCACCAACTGCGATTTACGGCAAGTTCATCATCAACATTATTAAACGCAAATTCCCCTCCTGCCCACAACATGGATTTATCCCAGTTGGGTGGCAGGCTGGGCCGGGCCCACGGTACTCTGCACACAGAGCACCTCCTCCTGACGAGAACTGAGTGCCACGGGAGCCCGGAGACCCGGGCCGGTGATTACCCCGCCGGCAGCACGCTGGGATAACAGCGGTCCCAAAGGTTTCCCGCTCCACATCCTGGGCACGAGCCCCACACCTCGGGGATGGTCCCCACGCGCTTTACCTCATCTGCCTCCGGGAGTCCGTGGGCCCGGGCCGGGGTCGCCCCCTCAGGCCGCGAACAGGCAGCAGTAGGGTTTCCCAAGGAGAGCCTACACCTCGCACACGGACCCCCACCCGTTCTTACCTCACCTGCACACCTACTTTCCGAGTAAACACCGACCGTTCTGGAACGAACAGACAGGGCTATGACTATACATGCGCAGAAGGAGCCCAGAATCCCGTTCCCAGAGTGCTGCTCGGGGAGTCAATACGATTCAAGACTACATTTCCCATAAAGCACTGCCTCCCATTTTCAAGTGAATCTTGTGCCTCTTCTGCATTTTTATAACACTGGAGAAAGATTTTCTTAAAGATGTCTCCTGCCAAGGATTTCCCAGAGCCCAAAGGATTCTTTGCTAATATTGACAGCCTGATCTTCGAATTCATACAAAAAAGGGGTGGGGTGGGGGGACTCATATGGAAATGCAAGGGATGCAGATTTGCCAACTTGGAAAAGAACAAAGTGGGAGGACTACCGCTTCTGATTTCAAAATCTAAATTTTTACTGTACTAAAAAGCTACAGTAATCAAGACAGTGTGCTATGAGCATAAGGGCATATGGATCGATGGAACAGAATGGAGAGGCCAGAAATAAATACTTAGATTTATGGTTAATTGATTTTCATTAACTAGAAATGAATCACAGTCCTAAGTGTAAGAGCTAAAGCTATAAAGAGCCCTGGTGGCCTGCAGTGGTTACCAGCTTCGGCTGCTGACCAAAAGGTCAGCAGTTCAAATCCTCCAGCTCCTCCGTGGAGACCCTATGGGGCAGTTCTACTCTGTCCTATAGGGTCGCTATGAGTCGGAATTGACTCAAGTTCAACAGGGTTAAAGCTATAAAACTCACAGTAGACACAGAAGTAAATCTTCATGACCTTAGATTAGGCAATGGTCCGTTAGATATGACACCAAAAGTCCAAGTGGAAAAAAATTATATAAACTGGACTTCATTATTTAAAAACTTTTGTGCTTTGTAGACACCATCAAGAAAGTGAAAAGGCACTTCTAGATTGAAAGAACATATTGGTACATCATATATTTGATAAAGGAAAAGAATGTGTTCAAGGGAAGCTCTTAACTAAGGAGGGAAGCCAGTGGATAAATGTTCCACCTCCTCTCCCAGGTGAAACCTTCCTGGGGACAGTTCCTATGGTTCCTTGAAGTGTTCCCACAGGGACTCAGCCCATAACTCAATTAGGTGAAAGGTTCAATAACTCACCCTCTACAATAACCACCTGAAACCTCCCTCCAGCAGACGCCAGATTCCTCACAATCACCTTCAATGCCCCATATGACTTGTCTCCCTTTACCTCTTCTGCTATTTTCTCCTTCCTTATACTGACCCAGCCACATTGGCCTGCTGGCTCTTCACTGAGCAAGCCTGGAGCAATCCTACCTCAGGGTGTTTGCACTAGAGATATCCTCAGCCTGAAATATTCTTCTTCAGATATCTGCGTGACTTGCTCCCTCACTTACTGAAAAGTTTTTCTCAAATAACCTCTTTTCCAGGGAAGCCAATCCTAACATTTCGTTTAAAATTTAAATCTGCCTCCCAACACTCTTCCACAATCCTTAAGCAGTTATATTTTTCCAACAGCAATGAACAACTTCTAACATAAAGCATAATGTATTTTTTAAAGTTTGTGTTTTCTCACCTGAAAGTATGCTACATGAGGTTAGAGATTTTTGTCTATTTTTTATCCCCCGTTTATTTTGTCCATTTCTGACTAGAAGAGTGCGTGCTACACAACAGACGCTCAGTTAAGGAATGATGAATGAACAAATACTTAGTATGCAGAAATGCAAAATGGTACAACCACTACAAGGGGCAAGAGAAGAATATTTATGAAAATGAAAAATGCATTTAATCTATGACTAGGTAATCTCCCTTCTACCATTTCACCTTATGGTTTCAACCCTTGCCACTCATTCTCAGACACATACATGAAACCCTGTAGGACAGAGAAGAACTGCCCCATAGGGTTTCCGAGGAGTGACTGGTGAATTCCAACTGCCAACCTTCTGGACAGCAGCTGAATGCTTAACCACGGTGCCACCAGGGCCCCCACTACATCACCAGGGCTCCATATATAAGCTGAAAAAAAAAAAAAAACCTGTTGTCATACAGTCAATTCCGACTCACAGCGATCCTATAGGACAGAGTAGAACTGCCCCATAGGATTTCCAAGGAGCAGCTGGTGGATTCGAACTGCCAACATTTTGGTCAGCAGCCATAGTTTGCCATAGCTCTTAACCATTGTGCCACCAGGGCTCCATATATAAGCTTACTCATTCTAAATAACTTAAGTGTCCTTCAATAAGAAACTGATAAAGGTAAAGGAGCACCGGGTGGTACAGTGGTTAGGCACTCAGCTGCTAATCAAAAGGTTGGAGGTTTGAACACATTAGCGGGTCCACAAGAGAAAGATGTGGCAGTCTACTTCCGTAAAGATTACAGCCTTGGAAACCCTCTGGGGCAGTTCTTCTCTGGCCTACAGGGTCACTATGAGTCGGAATTGACTCGATGGCACACAACAACAACAATCTAAGCTATGCTTGCATATGAAATACTATGTGTCTTAATCATTTAGTGCTGCTATAACAGAAATACCACAAGTGGATGGCTTTAACAAATAAATTTATTCTCTCACAGTCTAGTAGGCTAGAAGTCCAAACTCAGGGCATCAGCTCCAGGGGAAGGCTTTCTCTCTCTGTCAGCTCTAGGGGCAGGCCCTTGTCATCAATCTTCCCTTGGTCTGGGAGATTCTCAGCACAGGAACCTTGAGTCCAAAGGACACACTCTGCTCCCGGCACTGCTTTCTTGGTGGTATGAGGTTCCCCTGTCTCTCTGCTCACTTCTATCTTTTTTATCTCAAAAGAGATTGGCTTAAGAAACTATCTAATTTGTAGATCTCATCAATATAACTGCTGCTAATCCATCTCATTAACATTATACTGACAGGGTTTACAACACATAGGGAAATCGCATCAGATGACAAAACGGTAGACAATCATACAACACTGGGAATCAGGACCTAGCCAAGCTGGCAGATGTTTTTGGGGGATGCAATTCAGTCCATGACACTATGTAACTAAAAAAGAATGAGGAAGCTCACAAAGCAGCAACAGGGAAAAGTATTCAGGATATATTATTGTGTGAATACTGGAGAAGTCAGCACAACTTGACCAAGGCAAGGTGATGGAAGCTTCATAGACACATCCAAACTCCCTGAGGGACCGAATTACTGGGCTGAGGGCTGGGGACCATAGTCTCAGGGGACATCTAGCTCAACTGGCATAACATAGTTTGTAAAGAAAATGTTCTACATCCTACTTTGGTGAGTAGCATCTGGGGTTGTAAAAGCTTGTGAGCGGCCATCTAAGACACTCCACTGGTCTCACCCCGTCCGGAGCAAGGAAGAATGAAGAAAACCAAAGACATAAGGAAAAGATTAGTCCAAAGGACTAATGGACCACAACCACCACAGCCTCCATCAGACTGAGTCCAGCACAAACACATGGTGCCCGGCACCACCACCAACTACTCTGACAGGTATCACAATAGAGGGTCCAAAACAGAGCTTGAGAAAAATGCAGAACAAAATTTTATCTCACAAAAAAAAAAAAAAAAGACCAGACTTACTAGTCTGACAGAGACTGGAGGAACCCTAAAAGTATGGCCCCTGGACACCCTTTTAACTCAGTACTGACCCTTCAGGCAAAGGTTAGACAGGCTCATAAAAAGAGACTAAATATGCAGACTAGCCCAGGATGAGAAGGCAGGAGGGCGTCAGGAAAACTGGTAATGGGGAACCCAAAGTCAAGAAGGGGAGAGTGTTGACATGTCGTGGGGTTGGCAACCAATGTTACAAAACAATGTGTATTAATTGTTTAATGAGAAACTGATTTGCTGTGTAAACCTTCATCTAAAGTACTGTATATATATATGTATTGTTGTGTGATATAAATAAGTAAGGAACATAAGTGTATGGTATGCAAATTGGGTTAAAATGGCAGGAAATTATAATAAACATATTTGCTTGTCTTTTTATAAATACACAGTGGAAAGATAAATGAAGAACTTACATTAATAGTGATTAGTATTACTATACAAGACATTCAGATACATGGAGGGGGGATACTCAGTAGGATTTCTTACTGAATATCTTTTTATGGTACTTAAATGTTATAGCCCTATGAAGATATTGTTGTATTGCTGTTAGGTGTCGTCTAGTTGGTTCCGACTCATAGCGACTCTATGTACAACAGAACAAAACACTGCCCAGTCCTGCACCATCCTCACAATCGTTGTTATACTTGAGCCCATTTTTGCACTCACTGTGTTAATCCATCTTGTTGGGAGTCTTCCTCTTTTTTGGTGACCCTCTACTTTACCAAGCATGATGTTCTTCTCTAGGGACTGATTCCTCCTGATAGATAACGTTCAAATTATGTGAGACGTAGTCTTGCCATCCTTGCTTTTAAGGAGCATTCTGGCTGTACTTCTTCCAAGACAGATTTGTTGGTTCTTTTGGCAGTCCATAGTATAGTCAATATTCTTCCCCAACACCACAATTCAAAGGTGTCAGTTCTTCTTCCGTCTTCCTTAATCAACGTCCAGCTTTCGCATGCATATGAGGTGATTGAAAACTCCATGGCTTGGGTCAGGCACTCCTTAGTCTTCAAGGTGACATCATTGCTTTTTAACACTTTAAAGAGGTCTTTTTGAACAGATTTGCCCAATGTAATGCGTCCTTTGATTTCTTAACTGCTGCTTCCATGGGTGTTGATTGTGGATTCAAGTAAAATGAAATCCTTGACAACTTCAAGTTTTTCTCCGTTTATCATGATGTTGCTTATTGGCCCAGTTGTGAGGATTTTTGTTTTCTTTATGTTGAGGTTTAATCTATACCGAAGGCTGTGGTCTTTGATCTTCTTCAGTAAGTGCTTCAAGTCTTTTTCACTTTCAGCAAGCAAGACTGTGTTATCTGCATAACGCAGGTTGTTAATGAGTCTTCCTCCAATCCTGATGCCCTGTTCTTCTTCATATAGTCCAGCTTCTCAGATTATTTGCTCAACATACAGACTGAACAGGTATGGTGAAAGGATACAACCCTGACACGCACCTTT